CCCCCCCCCCCCCCCCATAGGGACACTCCGGTCATCATAAACCTACAACATGCTTGATCATTACAGACCTGAGCCTCTCTTGTCTGCGCTGCCTCTGCAACTAGGATGCCCACGGTAGAACACGGCCGGGCGAAGCTTTTAGGCCCGCGTGCGGAGGCGGGGCAAAAAGCTGAGCATCGTTCGTGATTTCAAAAGCATGTGGGCGGGACGACTGAGTGATGTCTGCACCAAGCTACAACAGCTCCGGGTAGCCCTCCACCGTCATGTGCACTGCATTAAATCTGTATAGCGACGGCGGCAGTGCTTTTGGCAGCCACTTCCTCCGCAGTAAGCGCCGATTCCGCCATTCCCAGCATCAATTGAACCATCCTCGCGGCGTAGCACCGGAAGCACTGCCGTTTGTCGCTCGCCAAGCGCCAGCTTTAACCATTCTGCTTGGCCACTACTCGCCAACGCCAAGGTAGTGGCTAGGCTCCAAGCTTCAGCCTCCGCCTGGGAGGCGAGCGCAGCAATCTTTGTAGGGAGCTGTCCGTGCACCTGCGTCGAAACAACGCGGAAACGCACTGCAAGCCATGCCGATCCGTCGGGGCGTGCTCCCAGCCAGCACTGCTAACCGAGTCCCGCGTAGCACTCAAGCGGCCAGCTTCGAAGGCAGCCCCGATGCGGTGTTTGGCCTTGCGGGATGTCAGATTCGGAATAGACGATCATGGACCACCGCTAGGAGAACTGGTGGCGGTTCCACCACTTCCAATTCAGTAATCTCCTCCTCAATGGGTCCTGGGTGCTGCTGCACTGATGGTCATCTCCACCCGCACCACTAACATTCATGTTACGGAAGAGTCAGAGGCGTGGGCACGGACCATGCAACAGCTGGTGTCTGTAGCCAGCGAGCCCATTCTCAGGAACTAAATGGGGGCCTGGCAACCTCAGTAACAAATCTAGCTGAAATGAGAAAGGCACCAACCACCTCACCAGAGAGCAACCCGAGCAGCCAGCAGAAGCCCTGTAGAGGAAGGGTTTCAGCGAGGGATGTCCTCGGGCACATGTTAGACCACGCCACCAAGTAGCACCGGCCACATTCCAGCATCGTTCGTGACTTCAAAGGCATGGCTAAACACCCCCCCCCCCGCTCGGCGATTCCGAATCATACATACATCTGGGCGATTCCGGTTCATCATTGTCCTTGAACGCGCCCCGTCTTAACGCCCTCTCAGTTGGCGATTCCGGTTCATCCTATATATATCTTAAGCACGCGCCCCCATTCAGCTACTCCGGTCATCATGTATCTTCAACACCCCTCACCCTCCAAGTTGGGCGATTCCGATTCGTCATATATCTGAAACACCGCCCCCCCTCCATTGGGCGATTCCGGTTCCCTATATATCTTAAACCCGCTCCGTTCATCTTATATCTTAAATCCGCCACTCATTTTGGCGATTACGTTTCATCATATATCTTACACACGCCCCCGCTTGTGGCGTTTCCCCTTCATTGGGCGACTCCGGTTCATCATGTATCTTAAGCACGCCCCCTCATTGGGCGATTCTGGCTCATCATACATCCTAAACACGCCCCCTCATTTGGGGATTCCTGTTCATCATGCATTGAATCCCAGAAAGTCGGATCAAGTATTCAGGATGATTCATGCTGGGATCCCCTATACTTTACCTTAAGGGCATACACCGTATTGAAGTCGTGGGGTTCCATGTCGTGAGCTAGGCTCACAAACTGCTTTGGGCTTTGGGGTTGGAGGCTCCGGGGTTGTCGCGAATATCTTTGGTCTCTGAGCTCTGCGAGCATTTACTCGTTAGTATGGGTCTTGCTTGGCTTTGAGTCTTTGAGGATCTAGTGGGTTTGAAGTACAGGTGTGGCCGCGCCCCTTACACATGCCTGAGCTCCGACCCTGTTACACAACCCACATTGCAGCTTTCACAGAATAAGAACGGTGTAAAAACCGATCATATTTCCACTTGATACTCTAGCTCACCGGCTGGGGATACCACCCAGGCGTTGCTCTGTCCTGGAAGGAGGAAGCGCAGCCGGCACGCCTTCGCAGTCCCCAGAGACATCAGTCTATGCGGCTGCTGTTCGCGACAGTGGCAACGGAGCACCACTGCGGCGTCCTTTGACGCAGGACTCAGGACCCGCTTCAGAACTCGCGCCAACGCAGCTGGTCCAATGCAGCTGTACCCTACTCCATCCATCTCTCTCTCTCTCTCTCGCGAGGCGCTTGCATGCACGCATTCTAAGGTTCAGAATGACGGCATGTACAACTGGCCGGCTTGACTTGAAGAGCCGCTGGATGACGAGTATTCCACATCCTCCTGCATGAATGCTCAGGGCCAAACCCTCAACAAGTTTGCGAATGCACGAAACATCAACTTTGAGACCATGCCCGATTCGGTGTGCGGCTGCATATCTTCACTACGTTGATGGCGTGGGGCAAACGTCTTTGCAAGGCAAGATTTCACATGATTTCACAAGGCAACGAATAGGAGTCGCGAGAGAGCTGATGCATTTGCAGAGCAAGCGGCTACACGAGCAGTTTCTGACCCACAAGCAGAGCCTGATGACCGAGACGGGTTCGTCGGAGAATTGCCGTCTTATTTCTACTAAGTACTTTAAGGGGTGCCAGAAACAAGCAAAACCTCACCAGCACCTACGCTACACAGGCATCATTCGGGTGCAGCCTGAGGTTTCTTGGAAAGGCAAGTGTTCAAGAATCGGAAGAACCAAGGAATCGAAGAGTCTGCAATGCCACACATCACAACGTTGCCCAGCGGGGGGGGGGGGGGAGTGCTACAGGCGCTACAACCGAAACACCCTGAACCTTCGGAAGACTCCTCGTGTCTGCGAGTGGGCACTTCCACATTGCCCTAGCATGGATGGGCGCTTCCGAGCCTTGTAGTTGTACCGGGTTCAATGTCTGGGTTCTTAGCAAGGTTTGAGGCTTCAGGATAGCGAGCGGGTATTGAGACCGAAGCTCCGCAGGGCCTACACCTTAAACTCACCCAAGGTGCTTTCGGACTGTCTGTTGTACTTGGAAAGCAACCCCAGCTTTCAACGCAGGTGCCTTCCCCAAACAGATCGAGGTTCCTCAAGACTTTCCACAGTTTGAGATCGGTTGCAGATGGCGAAGCAATTCCGCACAGCCTGATTTTCAGTTGTTCTCACAACGACAACGTACTCAAGCAAGCTCCAACAGTCAAAAAAATGATCGACTTTAGAGCAGGTAGGTTAGTTTAGCCGAATGACATCAGTCGAGGTTTGAGTTCTCCATGCTGCAGAGTATACGGTCAGTCCTACGATAACTGCAGCGGATCTCCGTGATAAGTACTAGGAACACCCAGCCGGAGTCCAAAAAGCAAAAGACCCAGCACCGGGACAGCCAACCTGGTTGAGGCATGAAAGCGGCAGATGAGGGATCTCAATTACCTGCAGCAAGGCGTCAGCAATGAGAGGATTTGGGAAAGAAGCTGCAGTTCTTTCAAGGACGGCGTGGCGATGCTGAAGGCTTCAAGCTGTAGATAGCTTAGACAGCTTCACACTTGTCGAGGCCTTAGACCTCAAGGCATCCGAAGATCGTCTGCAGGTGCAAAGCAGCGAGCAAGGAGCAAAACAGACCGATCAACATAGTGCCATGCATGAAAGCTTCCAATCTGTCTGCTCCCTAACCGAACGAACCACGCCACGAAACCCCGAGCCTCAAAGCTGAAAGATGTGCCACGAAATACAAAGCCCCAAACTGGCATGTCCGAAGGTCTGCGGTCTGCGCACTTCAGATGGTAAACTTCTGAGCCCAAAGGTTTTGAGCTGTCTTATAATTACTATTCCAGTTAGTGCGACGCTGGTTTAACCAAAGCGATAACCTACAACCCCCCTGGTCCTAAAACGCAAGCCGGTGCCGCAAGTGTAGTCAAGCGAACAAGCAAGGCCTGGGATGCGACAGGCGCAGACCAGGTGTTAGCCGCTTCTTGCGCAGCCTCCGGCCCGGGGGCTGAAAAATTCAGGATTCCAAGCCTTGGGGACTAGGAATTAGTCTATGACGTTGTATGCAATGGCAATTCATCGGCCTCAAGATGCCGCGGGTCCTAATGAATTTGTGTGGGGCATGTATATAAGGACCATGCCCGACCCTGTGTAATTCAACATTCTCGCACAGCAAAAGCACAGCACGCCAAGTTAAAGACTTTAGACTTTAAGCCCTTTAAGCCCTGAATCTCGGTCGCCTTCTCCTCTATGGGTGCTGTTGCTTGATGGAGCTCTCGCATTTTCTGGATGTCCTTCGGCAATCAGTGAGGCCACAAGGTTTCTGAGCGTCTATGGAACCAAACACTACTATGCCACTACAACTACATAGTTGCCGATCCTTGAGAAGTCATTCAATGATTCAAGGGGCTGATCCCAGAGGTTGGGTGGGCAGGAGGCCGGGGTACAGAGTCCTGCTGGGAGGCGTTGTAGGCATCGTAGACAGGAGGGATGTAGCCCTTCCGGCAGAAACTGTCCAACTCCTTCGGAGCAGAAAGTAGATCAGGCACATGCAGAGCCCCATGTCCTATGTAAGAATGGTGGGATCATTCTCAACAAGCTCATCGCAAAAAACAACTCTTAGGTTGTGACGATGCTCTGCCTCTTCGCCCTTGTCTGTGAAGATCGGTTAGGACTCAAACGCTCAAGTGGTCCTGAATCTCATGGCGGATCTTGTTGGCCTGCACTAGCGCTGGACGAAGGTGTGCAGCTAAGCACGAAGGCATTTCTTTGAGTGGGACCGGAATATTGGCCCCCAGTATTCTCAACAATAGACGCAAGCCTAAAACCTGCTCATGAAAGCATGTGCCTCACACACAGATGCCGGAACAGTTCGGTAACCATAAATACAGGACTGGTGTTGATTTCGGTCAGGCTAGATTTCTCCCCATTCTTGCACAAATCGGCCTGCTCCTTAGTATCTCCTTAGTTCCGTGACTCTCAATTCCACGCGAACCTCTCTTCCCTCCAAAGTCCCAATGGTCCGTTTTGGCCGAAGCCCACCCTCGAAGAGATCTTGCCCAAATCCCAAAATAGAATTTGTAAAGGGCATCATTCGAATCCGAGCAATCCTCCACCGTCTGCTATGCTCAACACTGCGCCTCAGCACTACATCCTCGGAATTATGCATGGAGCCCTGCACATTCGCCTCTTCGGTCGATCGCTGAATCGAGCGGTACACCTGACAAGAGTTCAGATTCAAGTTCGGCATCTTCCGTGCCCTGCATGCTCCTCGTCTCAACTTGATAATGACTCCCTTTCGCAGACTGTCTTGGTGTCTGTGTGCGGCCACATATCCGACATTTCCTGAGGGCTGATATGTAATTCACCCCTCGGACCCCTCGTCCAGAAACACCGCAGCTGCGTGTGCACCATGCACGGCCTGCTCGTAGACGAGCTTCAAGTTTGTCTCGCGCTCGTCGGGGCCAGTGCCACCGTTTGCCTGGATGAGCAGCCATAAAGGGCATGAGGAGTGGTGGCCTCGGATGTCGGGGTGCAGGGTTCGGCGTGCAGATGTTGCTTCCAGAGTGGAGAGAATAATGCCTCAGTAAAATGAAGCACTGAGAGTCCCGTACATCTTCCCAGCTTCATGAATCTTTACTGAAACTCTGAGGTGCGGAGTGGACTAGCGAAAAAACCGTGAGCTCTGAAGCCTCAGACACATCCTGAAGGCACCGCTCCACGTGAACACGGGAGAAGCTGCAAGAAGTCAAAAAGCTCCATTCCCCATAAGCTCTCCATCCAAACTCCAAGAAACTGGTGAAAACACAGACCCGTTGAACTCAGGCCTCCCGAAGCGCAATGATCATCCCCAGCAGCGCATCCAGCTCATGGAAGGCGGCAGCCGAACGCTTCGCGTCCTGCATTCGCCAGTGCTGGGGGAGTGGCATCCTCAGCGGTTCTTTAAGCCGAAATTGTCACAGGGCCCTTGACAACTGAAGGAGTAGGAAATGCTGGAGTGTCCAAGAACAAATCATGGAGATTTCAATCTTGTGGCCGCAGTTTACTGCCGTGTCGGCTGCAGTTCTCTTGTTTATCTAGATAATGTCGTTGTTCATATCCTCATCCCACCCTGGCCGAAACGATTTGGTGCAGGCACTGCAGAGACGCGGATGCATCGCACAGCTGAGAACCTACGTTGCTACATGATGTAAACAGAATCCTTGCAGCACTGTCACCGACTGTCGCCACAAAAACCAAAACGATTGGAGGGAACGAAGGCCTTTGGTTGTTTGGGGGGGCGGAGGGGGGGGGGGNNCCGGGTGGGTTTGGGTGCGGTTGTTCGAGGGTGTTACTGTTACCTCGGATCACAGCTTCGCCAACGCATGCTCAGACCCTAGCACCCGACAAAGTCGGCTTGGGCAAACCCGAAACTCAAGGACAAAGCGAAGGACATTTCATGGGCATGACTCGACCATGAAGCCGCAAGAATGATGGGCATTGGCGCAGTACGGGAGTGGTTAATCTTGAATAGTAGTCAGTAGTCTCCGCACTGCTACACAAACAGACATGTCCTTGGCGGCTCCTTCCTTATATTTCAGAAATGTCTAGGTTTGTTTCAAAAGCCAGGCCGTCAACCAGTTCAGTCTCGTCCTATTTGCTGGTTGCAATCATTTGCCGGTAAATTTCCAAAAAGCTTTTCTGAATGCAAGGGGGGCAAAAGACTGAAAATTCCGAGCGGGATTCTGCAAAGTCGGCCTGCTCTAGGGCTTCCACGGTGCGTCTCTTCACCTCGGCGCAGGGAGCATCAGGTCCCCTGATACCTCAGTCCTAAGCTTGGGCTGAAGTCCATCTTGGTTTGAATGTCCTGGATTTGAGACAGTTTGCTTACAACCGGCAGATCTTAGTGCTTCAGGTCTAAGTCTAAGTTTGTGTAGAGATAAGCGTTCGATACCGAGAAGGATGGTGATTCTAAAACCCTAGACTGCGTACAAGGCTGACGTGAGTGCTCGCTTGGACTGCATGAAACGAGGCTATCGGCAGTTGGGCGATCTCCTACTTAACTGTACTGTTGTTGCATCGCACGACGCCCGCTCCAAACCGAATGAAATTCCCTGCCGTTTCGATGCCACAGTCTTTGAACGGTGAATTAGACAAGAAATGACAATGAGACAATGAGGATTTGATGACATCCAAAGCATGAAATCGAACCTCTTCCACTGACGATATGTGTTGGCTGGACAATGCTCTGCCTGTGCGTTGCAGATTGCAGTCCAGAGTTTGGAATGGGACGAGTGTTGCCGATAAGTAGGCTACCAACGCAAAATGCAAGAAGCTCTCCAAGCCACTTTGCGGGTTGCACAGGCGTCCCTTCACCTGAAACTCTTGGCTTCAGAATCCTTGACCCGAAAGGAATCATGGCGAAGGCATGGCCAAGGCTCCATTTCAACGCATACTCAGAACTTAGGGATCTATCTGGCCACAAATCAATCGTCCGCTAAGGCGTTGAGTTCATCCAAAAGTCTTCACCGCTAGAACTGAACTACGCCCATAATCCGAAGCCTAGATGAACAATCTGCAATCTCGCATGACAGGAAACCTGCATCAGGTCGACGACCAGGTCGACTACTTGCGAATCCTGCGCATTGGTTTCGAGTGTTTGAGGCTTTGGCTCGGGTAATTCTCGGGTGTGCCGGTTGGATTTCAGGTGTCCAGGCGCGGCCTTACGCTTTCGTCGCACCTGTCTTGCCAGAAACGCCACGAAACATAGAACACAATGCCCCAACTGCTCGACACTCGAAGCCGAATGCTTGGGCTAACGCCAAAACGGACAAGAAGCCAGCAGCCATAGATAGCTCGTGCGCCTGCTCGGCCGCCAGTGGCTCCGAGTTCGCCTGCAGGGAGCGCGGGCCACTCGATTCATGGCTTATCAGGATTACCGAGCAGACGATGATGCTGCTGCCGCTTGCTGGTGGTGGCGGCGGAGGTCATTGTGGTCAATGGTGGTGACGATGATGGTGGCGGTGCTGCTGGTGCTGCTGCTGGTGGCGATGGCGGCCGCGGCCGCGGCGGCGGTGGTGGTGTGGCAGCCGCGGCGGCTGTGGTCGCCGTGGCGTGGGCAAGAAAGGGCGGGGAGGGGTAGCACAACGATGAGGACCACCACAGCCGTGGATGCTGATGGACTGTTTTGGGCTTGGGCATTCGGAGCAGTAAGTTCGGTGCACGGACTCGGAAAACCGCTTGCTCTCGTTTTCATGAAGCATCGCGTGCGGTAGCGCAGTACATGCTAGGAGAAATGAATCAACGGAACCCTTGACCCCGAAACCGGCATCCTTGCATGCAGGGTTCTACAGTGATTCTACAGTAGAGGCAAAACTACAACTCGAGTAAGTCTACAACCTAAGCTATGCCGGCCTGCACAGAACTTGCCTCACCGGTGCCACCTCTGCTCAAGTCTTGGCTTGAGTGGTTCGGGATGGACTTGCCTTTGAGGCACTTTCGCATGTCAGGCTTCCTTTCTGAGCCCATCAGTCTACCTGTCTACAGCCTTCAACGAACAAACTTCCGGTCGTACTTTTAGCTGCAGAATGCCTCAGCTGTTGATGCTCTCCGCCCCTCCTGCACCTATCCGGCTAACAGAATTAGTGGGGAGGGTGGGGTGACAGCCCTGAGTTCTGGTCACGGTTCAGCAGCCCCATGCACATACAGTGTAAAAGGCTAGGTTTATGGGTCTAGGGCCTAGATTTGTCCTGAACGATGTCGCCACAAGCTCGCCAATCACCGATAAGCTCTCACTGGGCTACATTAAGCCTTCAAAGGTCAAGGATAGTCCTTGAGGCGAAGGCGAAGCGCACTGCAAAAAATAGCTAATCCGTCTGCCTTGATCCCAACTGCTGGAAATAGATACAACCGTAGCCAGGACCCACAGGCTCAGCTTGAATTCTGGTTCCAAGTCCGCGGCACGAACAAGCCTTCTTCCGCAACCCTTTAGATTTCCCAGATAGACTTCACAGCAGATAACAAAGCCACAAAGCCCTTCTGTTCCAGTCGGACGGGGAGTCGCTCAAACGATCTTGCCCCAACGACGGCCAGAAAGGAGCTTGCTGGCAAGCAGCCATCTCCGCCGGTGCCCGCTTCCTTTCAGACACTTCTGAGGAATTCCAGGAGCATGTCTAGGTTCTCCCACCATCAGTCACATGGATAGCCCGAGTTGAATCCTCGTGCGGGGCCGAAGTTCAAATCGAGAACACCACCCCCAAACTCGCACCAAAACTCATCAAACAAACTACTCTGAATGAAAACATGAGGAGATACAGCAGCAGCTCGAAGTTGAGGATGCTGCCGATCACGACGAACACATCCAAGCCTCTCCTCTCACTTTAATCCTAAATTCCAGCGGCGAAACAGTATAATGGACAACCCCTGCGGTTTAGCCTGAAATTGGAAAGCTTCAACTGGCCTCCGGAATCGCGCCGGCTGCTTTCGGCTTCTTCCTGCTGCCACGCTCCGAAAGTCAGGAATTAGACTTGGGGCCAAGGGTTATATGCTTTCAACCAGTGGTACTATTTGGTTCGGAGCTGTAGGATGAAAATGCTCCAAAACTTAACTGTACACGTGCAGCAAGACGCTGAGATCCAGGCTGACTATTGCTGGACCTGCCACTTCGCGGGATGATCGCAAAAACGACAAGATGGCCGAACAATGCATGCGTGGCGATCAACCGTGAAGCCGCAGGTGCCCTACCGAGCAACCGGAGCCATAGTTTGGCAAGCCACCCGCTGCACATGTTATGCCACTCATGTCAACCAATCCGTGTGGTTTAAGGCAAACAGGGCTTAAGGTCCGATGCTTCACAAAAAAGGAAACAACTTACTGTTGATGGACGAAATCCTGCATGGATTTTCAATTACGGCCCATCCTTTGCAAACCATGAATCTTACCAAGCCGCAATTTAAAAATGGCATGTCGGCGAATGGACGAAATCCTGCATCACGTATCTGCGTCATCAACATTGACATTAGAGGGGTGAGGGGAGTGAATCAGTCAACGTGTTATGCTCTTCTTGCTGTGGCTCATGCACGATTTTGTCCACCCACCGTCTCGGTGAACGGTTTTCTCACTACCGCAAGTGCATCCACTC